TCTAAATGGAAGCCAGAGTTAACACACACTTAGATTAGCCTCAAGATACACAAAACATCAGATTTAATGTCAAATCCATTTTATTTCTCCTCTGTACTCTAAAAAGCACTCTATGAAATAAGACTCCTTATGGTACACAAGTGGCTTTACTCTCTTGGTAAAAGGAGGTACACAGCTCTTTACACAAAGAACTGTAGCAACCATAAAGGATACCTAAACAGGTAAGAGTAGTAACACCTTTCTGTATGCAACACACAGGGCTGTCTGTGTGACTGCCCTCAGGACTATTTGGCAGGCTATGACCATATTTGGAGGGGAAAGGAAAAAGGTAAAAATGTCTAACAACCCCCCCCACCGCCCCTGCCATAGGGAGCATTTTTATATATACATACTGGGTATTTAAACTTTGCTAATAACTACTAACCTGAAATTCCTATGTAAGTACATTTATTATGAGGGTAAATGAGTATGCTCTTGTACAGAGACAAATAATATTACCCACATGTTGCTTACCTCTTTATTTTTATACAATGAATTAATAATAAGTTTCATCATTCGATTAACTTCAGCTTGGAAGGCAAATTTTTCTGATTTCTCTCTAAGTTCTCTTATTTGGGATGCATTTAATCCATCCAACTGAATAGCTTCTTCCTCTCTAAGGAAATAAATTTGACAAACAAACAACTGCATTGCTTATTTAGTTCTCTCCAAAACATAGATCTATGAGAGCCCAGTGGTCTTGTAAGTTTGCCCTAAGGGTTAAAGGGGTAAAATGGAAACCTTTATAAAATATTACTAACCCGCTATTTCTATCTTTTTGCCACAACAAAATTTTACCACCTTAACAACTGAGCTAGAATACTTGGTTCTTAAAATTGTCAGGAAAATAAACCCAACTTTCCTCTACTAAAAATAAAAAGCAAAACCATTTATATGTTCCCTCACATGTGGGACCGCCTCTTTGCCTGGGAAGCTTTGGCCTCTAATGGCCTACAAAATTGCCAATTAAGCCCTAAGGGGCCAACTTAGAAAACACTGCTCATTTGAGAGCAATCTTTTTTAAAGTTACTACATTCAGGGGTTCCTGAATGTAGAGCATTCAGGATGTATGTATGTACATCCTGAATGTAGAGCATTCGCTCAGTTGGTAGAGCATGCGACTTGTGATATGTGGGTCCACACTGGGGGCAAGAGGTTACTTAAAAATTACTAAGTTTATACACTTACCGAATATAAAGCCAACTGGTCTGGGAAAAGTCACAGAGCTAGTGTCCCACAATCTAGTTACCAGAACAGTTTTCAAAAGAAATTCATCCCCTTTTGACCCGTCATTTCTAGGGGCAAGTTAGGACCTACTCAGGGATGAACATGCTCACTGCCCTGACCTTTTAGGTATTTAAATTTGGGGTGTTACAGGTCATCTGGACCTTTGAAGAAAAGACAACAAAAGAAGCGACTATATTCCAGTATTCACAAGGGCCCAACCATACAGTTTCAAAAGAACACAAACCTCTGTACAACTTCATCATCTGTCCTTGAGCCTTCTCTACTTTTGCCCAGATCCTCTTCCACTGTACCATCCACGTCCACTTCATCATCAGCCTGGACTGACCCTGAAGGAAGATTTAACACCAGAAAACTCATAACCATTTTGCTTCGGGTACTTCTCAGAAGGGAGTATGACCAGACAGGGCAAGGGTAAGGTTGCAAAATTCAGGGGTAAGTATGGGAGGTGGGCACGGGAGAACGGATCCACTAGTTTTCAACATCCAATGTAAACCCCACTTGGCATACTTTTTACATTTAAATTTAAGTTCAGACACGGGGCCCTCCAGTAGATTCTGAAATGCGGAGGCTGGGGCGGGCATTACGTCTCTCTAGAGCAGCCCTGGGAAGCTTTATAAAGTTAGTTTAGCAGATTTGATACCAGGTCCCTTCTACGTTCACACGTGTTGCGCAGCCCAAGGCATGGCCTCCCAAGTGACCACGCCAAAACTTAGGCCTTCAGTATCACGGATCAGAATACAAATAGAATTGGCGCAACCTCTGGCGAGAGGAACTGAAATCCGGCCCAACTGAGCGGGGGGGAGAGAGGTGATGAGATTCTGACATGGTAAGAAGCTCGCAAAAGTGAAGCAAACACGCTGACACCGCCTTTCTTCTGACTCAGAGCCCCACGCTCCCCAGACCAGCCCCTAAGAAAGGAAACGCGGGGTCAAAGACTCGGAAGACTGGGTAGCGGGGCGCGGGGGGGGGGGGGGGTCCTCAAGCTCAGATGGCCGAAGGCTCCTGCGTCTGACAAAAGTCCTCCGGAATGGGCACCCGCAATGCTCCCGGGGGACCAAGAGCCCGAGAGGCGCCCCACCCCAAGTTGGCTGAGACCTCTAGGCGCGAATATTAGGAGATCTGCAAGGGATTTAAATGCTCTCGGTTCTCGTTCTTCTTTCCACAGGAAGAGGAGAGTGCGCGAACTCCCTCGAGCCGAGCCTCTTTCGAGGAAAGGCGATGGATCCCTCTAGGCCCAACGTAGGCCCCGCTATCCCCCTCCCGGGCTCAACGCCCCCAGAACCTTCGAGAAGAGGCCGCGCTGGAAGGGGGGCGTCCGGGGGTGCCCGCTCCTCCGAGATCACTCACCGAAGGTCAGTAGGACGCAGCAGAGGCCCAGCACCCACAGGGCCCTCATGGCGCGCGGCCGGTGAGAGTCTCAAGTCCCTTTTGATCGCAGGAGCCGCCTCCACCTCCCACCACGGGGCTCAGATCCTCACACCGCAAGCCGCGCGGTCCGCCCACTACCCCCCAAACAGGTCGGGCCGCTTTTCACCCCAGCCTCTCGAGGGCGGGGGACGGGAAACACGAACCCACCAATGGTGCCGCACCACGCACCCTCTGTACCCAATGGGGACTCGTGGGGGGGACCGCAGTGAACCAATCGGAGCTGTCCAGGTGCGGTGCCCGATGCCCGAAGCGTGGCTCCCTCCGATTGGTCAACCTTAGCATCTCTTTTCCAATCAAATGGCTCCGCGGGCCCCTCTCACACAGGACCGCCCCTTTGCCTGGGAAGCTTTGGCCTCCAAGTGAAACGACCCAATGAACGTCAGCACTGAACACATCCTCCTTTTTGGAGAGGTCGCAGAGGAACCACTTCCGGATCCTCGAGCGCGTTTATTCCGTGACCAGGGGAAACGGTAGTCATGGCAACGGTTCTTCACTCTTTCCGGGTCTACCGTGGGGTCACGGTGGGAATGATTCCAGCGCGACTTTTCGCCGTCAGCTTTCTCTTTGGCAGTGCTTCTGGGGAAAGAGAAACACGTGAGAGGTTGAAAATCACCCGAGCACTTTTTAGATGGGAGTGGTGAGAAACTACAATTACCGGCATGCAACGCATAGGGGTGGGGGAGGTACACTGTATTGAATGCTGGGAATCGTAGTCTTTGGACTTCGGGCCAGCTGCGTAGCTTGGCTCTTCCGCATTTCCCAACGTGTCTTTGCGGGAATTCGGTGCTGCGTGGTTTAGAATTTACGTCTCGTTCTGTTTGTAGTCGATGTCTGTACTTATTCCAGGACTCTCCACTGTATCACAGCCTGTAGATACAGGCCCGGAGAGCCCCGACACCCTGGCCAAAGCCGCCCAGTGTTCGGGGGTCGGCCTTTCCGAGTCGGGGTTCCACGTCTGGTCGGTAAATACGAATCTGGCTCCTCCGGCATCGTTTGAGCCGCCGGAGCCTTCACTGCATCTCTGCGTTCCGTGGCCGGAGCCTGTGGCCTCCCTGGTTCGGTTTGTAGAAGAGGAGAGTGGGGCTTCTTTTTTTCCTTTGAGGAAAATTTAGAACAACTTCGATGCCCTCAACTCACTCCTAAAGCTCAAAGGCGGTGACCAGCGGCCCTAGAATCCCTACCATAAGCCAGGTGGAGCGCGTGTTCGTAAAATTCCGTCTAGCACAGAAAGAAAAAAAAGTACTCGTTTACTCGGTTTAGGAGGATACACCTGCAGATATTTGAAAGCAAAATCTGTGGGGCCGCAAATGAGAGGGTGTGCAGCCTGGTCACTTCATAGAAATACCCAGTCAGCGTTTAGAAAGACACAAAGCACCAGGTGGCTTTCCGGCGAGGGAAGCCCTCACCCTAAGCTTGCGCCTTTGGAAATATTTTCTGTGTCTCTTTAACCTAGTCTTTCCATACGCCCCCGAAGCCGACCTCGTTTCCAATAAAAACCAGTCTCTTCTCGCTTCCTCCAGAAAAAATGGAACTTTGAATTTGTTTTTAGATAATTAACCGAATTCCTAAAGACAAGCTTTTCAGTTGAAAGTCTATCATAATCTTTTGTAACTTCCCCTGTTTAGGTTGGCCAATCTTAACTCTTGTGGTTGGTGTTTACACATTGTGGTGGTGAATTATTTACATCTGCCCAGATTGTCAACGTTTGTTATTAGTAAGCAAAGGGTACCTTGCAAAGTTTTTTTTAAATGCTTCTATGATTGTATATATATATTTTTTGAGTATTCTAGGGTGGAAATTACATTCAGAAGTCTCAAATAATTGCATTTTTGTATATTTTAGCTCCTGTTTATTATTATTATTATTTTTTTTTGTTTTTTAGAAAAGGGGGGGTTCTTTCACTTTTCTGCATTTCACAGCTCAACTTCTTCACCTTTTTCTCCAGTTCTGGACAAGTAAGCAACCAGTTCTGAAACTGCAAATTCCATCTGAACTGGTCAGTGGTGGCTAGTTCAGTGTTGCACCTGGAGGGAACTGAGAATGATACATGACTTCCTTTTTTTTTTTTTTTTTCAACGTTTATTTATTTTTGGGACAGAGAGAGACAGAGCATGAACGGGGGAGGGGCAGAGAGAGGGAGACACAGAATCGGAAACAGGCTCCAGGCTCCGAGCCATCAGCCCAGAGCCTGACGCGGGGCTCGAACTCACGGACCGCGAGATCGTGACCTGGCTGAAGTCGGACGCTTAACCGACTGCGCCACCCAGGCGCCCCGATACATGACTTCCAAAATAGATCCATTGCTTGTGGGTAGAGGCTTCATCAGATGATGGTGGGGATCTATGAGGCAGGCAAGACCTGAGACATGGTCTGGCAGAAGATGGCTGGCTATTGTCTGGCTCAGCTCTGCCCCTTTAAGATGGGATCCCTGGCTGTGCACCTTGTACAAGGAAAGAATCCAGCCTTGCCGGTTCTCCCCTGGGGTCTCCACCTCTTCTAATTTTTGACCCATTGTTGATTCTCACTTCCCATCTTGGTCTACTTCCTCCAGAACTTATACCCCAGGCTGTTATTAAACTCCCTAGCTTTGTATCGGATTCTTTTGCTTTCCAGTTTTAGTTTTTCCTTTTGACACCGTATGTCCATGGACACTACGGGAAAAAGCTGCCTTTGTTGTTGTTGCTGTTGGTAAGCTTCTTCTTGGAAGAGAAAACCATATAGGCAAAGGGGTGCCCTCAGGGGCTTTGGACAGCTCACCTGGTGACAGGTGTAGTCCCACAGTGAGGAGTCCGGGAGAATGCAGACCAGGGAGATGACGGCAGGAAAGCAGTTGCAATCAGGGAGCGTTAAGGAATGAGGGTGAGCATCATGGTGAATCTGTTGGTTGGGTCATTCATCCATTCATTCAGGAAGTGTTGATCTGGTATGTGCCCGGTGTCATGCAAGGTGCCGGCAGTATACGGGTGAACAATGTAGATATGGTCTCTGTGCAGAGCTTGAGCAAATATTAATGGTGGGTTTGCATAAGTACATGTATCTTATTTAAACTGAAGCAAAGATATAAGAGAATGACTGCAGAAGAGTATGAGGGGACTTTTTGGAGTGATGGAAGTGCTTTTGATCTTGATTTTGGAGGTGGTTAGTGGATTAAAAAAAACCTCTACACTTAAAAAAGTGGATTTTGTGTGTAAATTATACCTTGATAAAAAAAAATCATAGCAACCATCATTCTAAATTTTTAAAAATGTTTATTTATTTTTGAGAGACAGAGTGTGAGCAGGGGAAGGGGAGAGAGAAAGGGAGGCACAGAATCCAAAGCAGGCTCCAGGCTCTGAACTGTCAGCACAGAGTCCGATGCAGGGCTCGAACTCACAGACTGCTAGATCATGACCTGAGCTGAAGTCAGATGCTTAACTGACTAAGCCACCCAAGTGCCCCTATAGCAAATATCATTCTAAACAGCAAAACACTAAAACCCGTTTCAGTAGGAATCAGGAACCAGATAGACATGCCTTTTATTGTCAGAATTGTCCCACACTCTTTAGGAGGGTCTAAGACAAGAACATAAAGTAATTGGCATTAACCTTAAGAAAGTTGAAGTCTTTTATTTTGGAATCGCTTCTTACTGTTGAAATGACTGTATACCCTGGAAACCCAAGAGATTCTAGTGAGGGAGGAAAAAAAAATTATATATATATATGTATATATACACACACACACACACATACACACAATGTTTGGTAAATTATTGACTATGAGATAAATATATAAACACCAATAGACTTGCTCTAATCTTGCAAAAAACACATAGAAATGGAAATTTAAGGGGCACCTGGATGGCTCAGTTGGTTAAGCGTCCAACTCTTGGTTTCAGCTCAGGTCATGATCTCATGGTTTGTGAGTTTGAGCCCTGCATTGGGCTGTGCGCTGACAGCATGGAGCCTGCTTGGGATTCTCTCTCTCCCTTTCTCCCTGCCCCTCGCTTGCACTCTCTCTCTCAAAATAAAGAAAAACATTTTTTAAAAAAAGGAAAAAAAAAAAGAAATGGAAATTTAAGAGACTTCATGTATATTAGAGGCAAAACCCATCAAATATTTAGGAGTAATTTGACAAGAAAGAGCTCCAACGTGGAAAAAACAGAAGATGTTACTGAAGAATATAAAACAAATAGAGAACTTGGGTCAGGTGCCAGACCCTAAGTATTATCTATTGCCATGTAATAAATTATCCCCAAACTATACAACTTAAAACAGTAAACATTTATTGTCTCATCCTATCTGTAGGTCAGGAATCCAGGAGCGCTGAACTGGGTGGTTCTGGTTCACGGTCTCTCATGAGGCTGTGGTCAGGATGTCAGTGTGCGATGCTGTCATCTAAGGTTTGACAGGCTGTGGGGTTTGCTTCTGTGATGGCTCACTCATATAGCTCTTGGTGGGAGATCTCAGTTCTTCACCTCATGGACCTTCGTAGGGCTGTTTGAGTGTGCTCATTGCATGGCAGGTTTCTCCAGAGTGAGTGAAAAGCTGGGGAGTAGCCATAATAAGTCCTGACCAACCTCAGAAATCACACCATCACTTCTGCAATAACCCTATTCAGTGAGAGGGGATTACCCAAAGATGTAAATTACCAGGAGTCAGACATCACTGGGGCCATTTTAGAAGCTAGCTGCTACTGCATCTTAGCTGCAAGGGAAGCTGAGAAAGGGTTTATCTGGCATTTTCAGCTTTTTTTGTGAGGGTTGGGCTCATAAGGTGAGGATAAGAATCTTAAGATGGAGATTCCCCCAAATACAGGAACGGGTTCAGATGATGAACAGTCAAAAGGACTGATAAATGTCCACTGCATGTTTGAATATACAAACAGATCAGTGTAACAACAGAGAGAATCCAGAAATAGATTGCCTCAATTTAATACGTGACAAAAGCAATTTTTCTGTTTAGAGGGGAATGGCTAGTTTACTTCATAAATGATGCTGGCCTTGACTGGTTACCCATCTCCAGCAAAGTGAAGTGGGCTCCTATCTCACACTACATAAAACATATCCCAGCTTAGAAGACAATGACAGCACCTGTGAGCGCACACCAGGGATGTGGGAAACCTTGGCTTGAGCATCCAGAAAATACAATGCAAAGCCTAGGGTGTTTCCCAGGCGGCCTCCTCAGTCGTTCCTGAATTCCAATTTTTGTATTTCTAGCAGTGGCCCTGTCAAGTGCAGCAAATTAATACTGTGCTTTCCTCCAAGAATGCAGGTTCCTGTGGCATAGGAATCAGCAAGTACTTGGAGGGGAAAAGCAAGAGAGAATGTGGGGCTCACTTCTCAACACTTCCTTTCTTTATGGAGTCGTCTCCTCAAATCCTGGTTGCCTGGGTAGCCATCTGATGCCTTTAAGTAAGTTCTCAAGTGTCTGATCCAGCTTCTCTAGTGTCCATCATAGTAAATTGTAAAAGTAGACGTGGCTCAAAAAAAAAAAAAAAAAAAGTAGATGTGGCTCTACCTAGCAGATAGAGAATTCCTTGGTCCTATTTTAATGTGTAAAAAAAAAAAAAAAGATTTTAGGTAAGACAATAAACAGCCATTATTAGGGGCGCCTGGGTGACTTGCTTGGTTCGGCATCCAACTTTGGCAGGTCATGATCTCATGTTTCTTGAGTTCAAGCCCCATGTTGGGCTCTGTGTTGACAGCTCGGAGCCTGAAGCCTGCTTTGGATTCTGTGTCTCCCTCTCTCTGTGCCTCCCCCATTCACACTATGATTCTCTCTCTCTCTCAAAAATAAATTAACATTAAAAAGAATAGCCATAATTATATTCTTACGTTAACTTTTTGGTGGTTTTTCATCAAGCAATTTATGTAATGTTTAATGTTTCCAAGCTGTAGAACTTGCATTATTTTGGCTATAGAACAATAAATGTGTTTCTAAATATATAATGTAATTGCAACTGTAGTTTACATTATATCTTCTTTTTGACCAGTTTTAACTGTGATTTTGGATTATTTGTGATCTTTTCCCTATACCCTGCCCAAAGTGACACCAGATATCTTGCTTGAGAATTGACTTTGGATTTGTAAAATGGTTACCTGCATTTGCTGATAAAATCTCTGGGTGCTGTAACTTTTATTTATGCAGTTAGAAAGTTTAAATCTATTTTTTTGTTTGTTTGTTTTTAACATGAGGCTTGAACCCATGCCCAACATGAGGCTTGAACTCACAACCCTGAGATCAAGAGCCACAGGCTCTACCCATTGAGTCAGCCAGGAACTCCAAGTTTAAAATTTTTTTTTTTTTTAATGTTTATTTTTGAGAGAGAGACAGTGACAGAGCAGGGGAGTGGCAGAGAGAGAGAGAGGGAGATACGGAATCCAAAGCAGGCTCCAGGGTCTGAGCTGTCAGCACAGAGACCAACGCAGGGCTTGAACTTATGGACTGTGAGATCATGACCTGAGCTGAAGTTGGACACTTAACCGACTGAGCCACCCAGGCACCCCTAAACCTGTTTAAATTAAATTCACCCATAATCTTGTAGTTCATATTTTCTTTTTTTTTTTTTTTTCAGAGAGAAAATATGAATGGGAGAAGGGCAGAAGGACAGAGAGAGAGAGAGAGAGAGAGAGAATCTTAAGCAGGTTCCGTGCTCTGCACAGAGCCCAACACAGGCTCGATCCCATGACCCTGGGATCATGACCTGAGCCGAAATCAAGAGTCAGATGCTCAACTGACTGAGCTACCCAGGTACCCCTTTTCTATTAATTAAAAACAAACATCTCCCTAGAGTTTGCTTAATAAAAATAGGTCAGTTAAAAAATATCCACCCAATGTCTTTTATTGACTTTGGACACTAGCAGAAAATAAGAGGAATTGAATTTCAAATAATATTTGTTAAATTTTAATTTGTGGTAAGTTGATATTTTGCATGATCCAATCATACATGTTGATAATTTATGTTAGGACTAAATAGAGTTTTAGAGCTGGAAGGAATCTTGGAAATCATGTTATTCTACAACTCTCCCTTTCAGTTTTATTTATTTAAAAAAATTTTTTTTCCTTAATGTTTTTATTTATTTTTGAGGCAGAGAGAGACAGAGCATGAGCAGGGAAGGGGCAGAGAGAGAGGGAGACACAGAATCGGAAGCAGGCTCCAGGCTCTGAGCCATCAGCACAGAGCCCTATGCGGGGCTTGAACTCACAGACTGTGAGGTCATGACCTGAGCGGAAGTCGGACGCTCAACCAACTGGGCCACCCAGGCGCCCCTCCCTTTCAGTTTTAAATGATAAAACTATTATATTCTCATGGTGTAAAAAAATGCCCAGTTGGTACAGAAAAGTATAAGGTCAAAGGTAAAAGTTCTAGATTCTTCCTACCTCCTCATTCCCATTCTCTAGAAGTCATTACTGATAGAGGTTCCTTATGCATCCTGCCAAAAATTTGTGTGTATTTGTGCAAAAGTACGTGTGTGGTTAAATTAAAGATGAAATTTTTGATTTTTTAAAAAACAAAGGGAACAATACACATTAGCTTATTCTATTTAATACATCTCAGATATCTCATTCCTTTTTAAATCTGCTGTCCTGTTTTTTTTTTCCGTTTTCTTTTTAAATTTTTTTTTAAACATTTATTTATTTTTGAGACAGAGAGAGACAAAGCATGAACAGGGGAGGGTCAGAGAGAGAGGGAGACACAGAATCTGAAACAGGCTCCAGGCTCTGAGATGTCAGCACAGAGCCCAACGCGGGGCTCGAACTCACAGACCGCAAGATCATGACCTGAGCTGAAGTCGGCCGCTTTACCGACTGAGCCACCCAGGTGCCCCAATCTGCTGTCCTGTTTGATAGGCATTGGTATTGTTTCCAGCTTTTGTTGTTACCACGATTAGTGCTGCAGAGAATGCTTTAACATGCACAAGGTTTTGTGTTCGTGCGTGTTTGTCTGGAGGATAAATATATAGTTTGGAATAGTTAGATCAAAGTGTATATACATTCAAAATTCTATGAGTATTTACTAATTCCTCTGAGAAAAGGCTATACCAATTTATGCTCCCATATCAAACCTCCCCCCTGCACATCCCCTTTAAAAATAAAAAATTAAAAAAAAAGCTTAGGAAATTTGCGGTTCTGAGAACTTAGATGAAGTCCCAGAGTTCGGTATTGGCAGAACAAAGTAGAACTCATATTTTAAACATTTATTTTTTTAAAAAAAATTTAATGTTTCTTTATTTTTGAGAGGCGGTGGAGGCGGGAGGAGCAGAGAGAGAGGGAGACACAGAATCTGAAGCAGGCTCCAGATTCTGAGCCGTCAGCACAGAGCCCGACCCGGGGCTCTAGTCCACAAGCCCTGAGATCATGACCTGAGCTGAACTTGGATGCTTAACCAACTGAGCCACTCAGGCGCCCTTTAAACATTTCTTACATTGTTCTAGCCACCTCTTGACTACTGGGAAGAGTTTGAGGGCTTTTTTTAAAAAAGGAAATTTTATTGTGTTAAGATTTCAACAGCCATGAATGTGCATTATAAAAAAGATGGAAAATTAAAAGAAAGGTCAAGGAAGAAAATTGAAATAACCTGTATGCATTAATGAGCTAGATCACTGCTAGCATGTTGGTGTCTGTGTTGAAATTTGACATGTATTTTTATTTATTTATTTTTTTGAGAAAGGAGGAGAGAGAGAGAGAGAGAGAGAGAGAGAATGTATAAGGGAGGGGAGAGAGGGAGAGGGAAATAGAGAATAGAGGGAGAGGGAGATAGAGAATCTTGAGAGAATCAGTTGTGAGATCATGACCTGAGTGAAATCAAAAGTCATATGCTTAACTGACTGAGCCACTCAGGTACCCCAAAATCTAACATATATATATATATTTTTTAATGTTTATTTATTTTTGAGACAGAGAGAGACAGAGCATGAATGGGGGAGGGTCAGAGAGAGAGGGAAACACAGAATCTGAAACAGGCTCCAGGCTCCGAGCTGTCAGCACAGAGCCCGACGCGGGGCTCGAACTCACGGACCGCGAGATCGTGACCTGAGCCGAAGTCAGCCTCTTAACCGACTGAGCCACCCAGGCGCCCCTAACATATATTTTTAAATTAAATGGGGATCACCCAATAATACTATTTTTGGAAATTTCTTTTTCACTTGTCAATATGTGGTAAACAGTTTCCCATGTAAATATTTTTACAAGGTGTCTTTTAATGGATTAACATTGTCTCGTGTCATGACTGTGCTGTAATTGTTTGATTTATTGTTGTTAGACCTTTAGTTTTTTACCAATTTTAAACCATCATAAATATTGCTGCAACGAAAATCCTTATAGATAAATCTTTATATACAAAATGAATTTTTAAAATTGGAAATGCTTGGGGCGTCTTGCATTTTCTATCTCTCTAAAAAAAAAAATTGGAATGCTTGGTAAAAAATATGACATGTTTTAAAAGGATTTTGATACTAAAAATTGCCCCCTAGAATAGTTGTACCAATTTACATTCCCACCAATGGACATTTTAAGCATAAGAAGCTTAAAAAAATCTGGGGCTGTCAAGGGTAAAATTACCAAAGTTAGGTAATTTGAATATAGAAATTTCTAAGCCTTAAAATATTGAGAGAAATTTCTGTAAAAGGTCAGAGGAATTTCTGACCAGTTAATAGATATTCTCATAACTTTTAGTTATAAAGGGCAGTGATCCATGGAGTAATACTGTTGAGGCTGCTGTATCACAAAATACGAAGGCAAACATGTTATAAAGGTAATATTAACTTTGACAACAATAGGAATAGCAAACATTGAGGGCTTAGTATGTACCTTGTAGATTACAAAATATAAAACAGTGATAACTTGCTTGAGAAATCTTAAGTAAGGATATTATTAGAGGTCCATTTTAGAAGTGCTAAGGGGCGCCTGGGTGGCTCAGTCGGTTGAGCGTCTGACTTCGGCTCAGGTCATGATCTCACAGTTTGTGGGTTCGAGCCCCACGTCAGGCTCTATGCTGGCAGCTCAGAGCCTGGAGCCTGCTTCAGATTCTGTGTCTCCTTCTCTCTCTGCCCCTCCCCCACTTGTGCTCTGTCTGTCTCAAGAATAAATAAACATAAACAAATTTTTTTAAAGAAGTGTTAAGACAAATTTTTATTAAAAAAAAAAAAGCTGGGGCGCCTGGGTGGCTCAGTCGGTTAAGGGGCCGACTTTGGCTCAGGTCATGATCTCGCGGTCCGTGAGTTCGAGCCCCGCGTCGGGCCCTGTGCTGGCAGTTCAGAGCCTGGAGCCTGCTTCCGCTTCTGTGTCTCCCTCTCTCTGACCCTCCCCCGTTCATGCTCTGTCTCTCTCTGTCTCAAAAATAAATAAACATTAAAAAAAAAAAAAAAAAGCTTATCAGGTGCTTATTATGCAAAGTCTCATTTAACCCTGT